TCCTGCCTGGTGAACAAAGCCGGGGTGGAATTCATAGGAACAGAAAGCACAGGTCCCTTCTTCCTGCTCCAGCCTTTCAGCGCCCCCTCTAGTGCCCCCTAGTGGCAGGACCTAGTAGCGCCTGGCCGGCAACGTGCAGGTGTTTGTGGACAAAATAGGAAGGGTGGTTTCGGGACTGAATGACAATAGTTTAATAACTGACACAACGTTCATGGTTGAGATTGCACACTGGTGGTCTAGGAGCTACTTCTGGCCACTGGCCACGTATGATCCATAGACGTGTCTCTTGTGGCATTCATGATAGTTTAATCAAACGTGTGTCTGGGTTAATTTTTAAAATCTGAACATGTGCTTCCTGGGAAGCCCACACAACTTTATCGTTCATGATTTACATTTTTAAAAGGCAAATGAGTAGGAAGGCAGCTTGGAAATTACCTAGTAATCAGTTTACACATGTGGCGGTAAGGCCCTCAGAGGGTGCAAGAATTTCCTCCCAAATCTCAAAACCAGCGAAGGAGATTTTGGGGTGCTAAGTCCAGGATTCTCATCACTGCCCCTCACTGTGCTACCAGGAAGATGGGTGTGCTCTGGCCCCCCATTGCTCAGAGTGTGGTCCATGGATCAGCAACACCAGTCTTGTTAGAAATGCAGAATCTTGGGGCAACTGGGCGGCTCAGTCGGTTAGGCGTCTGCCTTCGGCTCAGGTCATGATCCTGGGGTCCTGGGATTGAGCACCATGTTGGGTTCTCTGCTCAGCCAGCAGGCTGCTTGTCCCTCTCCTTCTGCCCCTCCCCCTGGCTCATGCTCTCTCTTGTTCACACTCTCTGTCTCTCAAATAAATAAATAAAATCTTAAAAAAAAAAAAAAAGAAATGCAGAATCTCAAGGGTGCCTGCGTGGCTCAGTTGGTTGAACGTCTGACTCTTGATTTTGGCTCAGGTCATGATCTCAGGGTCTTGAGATCCAGCTGCACGTCAGGCTCCATGCTGGGCATGGAGCGTGCTTAAGATTCTCTTTCTCCCTCTCCCTCTGCACAGCCCCCTACCCTGGCTGGCACACGCTCGCTCTCTCTCTCTCAATTAAAAACAAATGTAGACTCTTAGGCCCCACACCAGACTTATTGAATCAAAATCTGATTTTAATGAGATCCTCCCATGATTTGTGTGTGCACAGTAACATTTGAGAAGTGCTGAAGATAGCTTTTTTCAGAAAAGGAAAATAAACTTTAATTGGCTGCTAGTGTTCTTCTCTGGGATGGAACCAGGGTAAGGAGTATGCAGACTGGTTCTCAGCAAATCTCCTGACCACTCCTCTGATTTCTCGTCTCCCTTCCTCCCAATTTATAGGCCCACACACATGATGCCAACAGCCACGTGCACACACGTAACTACATGAGCATGCATCCGAAAATGCATATGTATTCTCTCCCTCATACACAGACACGCACACACCCATTAGCCATTTATGACATGGTCTCTGCTCTACTGCCTCACTCCAGTCCCTCACCAGGTCCCCCCACGTGCACTCTGCTCTACTCACACTGAACTACTTGGGCACCATTGCCCAAACATATCAGGTGTTCTTTTTGCCTCCCTGTCTTTTGCACCTGCTGCCTACCACTGCCTGTGATGCACTCCCCCCACCACCAAGATGGAAACCTGACTAGCTTCTCTTTGTCCTTCACCCACAGCTCAATGACTTTCTTTTGGAAGCCTTCCCACATTGAGTGAAGTGCATCCAGGCTGTGCTCCTTCTCTGTGTTTGTATAATACCCAGCATATGCCTTTATTGGAACATTCTTTCTCACCAGGAGATAATCATATAATGTATTGTTTATCTCCTTGAAAGGAAGGAACCATGCCCCCACTTAGCAAGCAGTTCTGGGGATGAGCAAACAAGGAAAGAATAAACTAATACAGAGCTAACAGATCTGTCTGATGCTTATCTATAAAGAACAGTAAAGCATAGTAGTTAAAGCATCAACTCTGAGGTTGGAATTCCCAGATCAAAATCTTGGTACTTCCACTAATTATGGGACCTTGGGGAACTACTTTGCCTCTCTGTGAATCAGTTTCCTCCTTTACAAAACAAGGACACTAGTGGTATCTACTGGGTTGTTATGAGCATTAAATGGGACCAACAGTGCTCTGTGAAATGCTTCACATGGAGCCAGGCTAGTGGTGAGTGCTCACTTTGCGTTTGCTGCCTTGGTGCTATGATGTGATATATTAGGCTCTCATGATCTATTGTATTACTTACCGGCTTAAAGCACCCATAGCATTTACTTTGCAATTTGGGCAGGACTCTCTCCCTCCCTTCCTCCCTTCCTTTCTTCCTTTCAGTATCTGTGTCTTTATTCCAAACGTGATTGACCACGTATCATGAAAGAACCACAAGGTATTTGTCGGCTGAATGGAGTATTGGAAATTTTTGACAAGGAGTTGAGCTGAGGCCAAAAATGTTTGGAAGCTGAACAGACTTAACGTGGAAAAAGATGTTCCCTCTCTCCTCTTGTGTAGAAATCTAAATTACCAAGTACAAGGGCCTACTTTGTGTTGGGCTGGTGGTGACATCCCCGTGGTCTATCTGAAAGGGGGAAGAAGGACAGAGCATCTCAGATATGGGACTCCTGATTATGGCCATCATGTTAAGTGGGTTACCTAAGTCAGAGGAAGTAGAATCCAGTTCTTTCCTGGGAAGGACTTGCTTAGGCATGGACAAAGTTTTGGGTCTTTTCTACTTTGGGAAGTAGAATCCAGTTCTTTCCTGGGAAGGACTTGCTTAGGCATGGACAGAGTTTGGGTCTTGGTTGGGGTATCAGATGCTAATCAGAAACTAGCGTGGGGATCAGGATCTCAGGACCAGGCACAAAGCCAGTCATGTGGACTGGAACCACAGGTAAAAGTAACAGGGAGGCTGCAGCCTGACCCTCACTCAGGCTTATGTGGTGGGGATGGGTCATGGCAACAGAAGATGGTTTTAAGCCCCCATCAGTAAGTAAGGCAGTCCTGCTGGACACGACTCACAATGGCTAAGAACTGAGCATGATTAAGTCTGCAGGGAACTAGATGTTGGAGACCCTTTGTTGGTCAGGGTGGGATAGCAGATAAACTCATAGTCTAGCAGAGCACACTGACCCACACATTATTGCAACACAGCATGACACATACTCTGAGTTGTGTTTGCAAGTCTTGACTCATTTTCTGAAACACAAGTGTTGGTGAGCTAATATTAGTGGGAAATTGCTCACTACATTTTCTGAGCTTTGGACTGGGAAACTGGTGAAATAGGGAGGAGGGGGTATCCTCACTCTATTATTTCTCTGTGGGTCCTCTGAGGATGCAGAGAAATGGCAGAACCAGGAGCATGGGCTCAGCAATTTCCCCTAGACATTCCCATGGTTGACTTTCTTTAGGTCTTTGCCCAAATGTCCCATCTCAGTGAGGCTTCCTGAACCATCTTCTTTAAAATTGCCACCTCCCACCCTGGCTCTCCCTATTTCCCTCCTTCTTATTATTTTTCTCTAGAACTCTTATCAGTCACCCACTAACTGTATATTTTACGCATTTATCTATTATCTCTTTTCCCCAACTAGAATGTAAGCTCCATGAAGGCAGGGATTTTCATCTGTTTGGACCCTGCTGTATCCCCAGTAACTACAAGAGTATTTACCTAGTAACAGACATTTAATAGATACTTTGTAGACTCATAGACATATTCCATGAAGTAACAGCATATACCAAAATATAAAAGAAAATAGCATCTTTCGTACTTAAAGGCTAAGAGTTACAACCCAGGTGAGTGAAGAAAATCTTTGTGAAATCCGTTGACAACACCAAAGTTATCATTTCTTTTCATCTCGTAGAGTAAGATGACAAAAGAAGGAACTCTGTCATGGGTAAGATAAAACAGGCCATGCTCAAATCTTTCCTTTTGGGGACCAACCTTCAAGTTGATTAACCAGCTAATTGAAGCTCTTTGCTTTATGTCGGCCCTTCCTGGTGCACATCTGCATAAATAAAGCATCTGTAGGTCCAGAGGCTTCCTTTCTGTGAAAGACAATTTGTGTTTATTGTTTGATTTACAGTTAAGGCTGGGTGAAAGGATCCTTCCATAATTTGCATTCAGTTATTTTCTCCTCGTGAAGGATGGTCTGCAAAGTGATGGTCTGCAAAGTTTCCTTCACAGGTATCGTAAATCACATATGGACTCAGCACCGTCGTTAATAATTAGTAAGAGCTCAATATTTAGCAGGAAGGAGTTATCCATGTGATTCTGGAGATGGCCCATGTCTGTGAGGATGCTGACTTTCACTGGAACACCATAAACATGTCAACAACAATATATTTATATGATATCTTCAATTAACTGATCTTATTATTAAAAGGCAAGTACAAGTTACATGTGTTAAAGAAAGGACGGCTCATTGCTGGTCTCTTCTGCATTCCCCTAAGGAAGCTGAACATCGGTTGTAGCATGGAGATGATCTTTTTTGGGAGTAATAAAATAGCCAGGCTTATTGGTAATTGCTGTTTTACACTTCTACCTTTTCCTTCCTTCCCATGATCCTTACACCATTTTGTCCTTTTTTCCTGGAAATTCTCTCTTTAAACCTACCCCTGCAGGTAAGGATTTTATAACACAAACACTCTTTTTGCTTAAAAATAAAATGACAGTGCTACTTTCTGCAGATTATGCCACTAAAAGAGCCATCTTCAAGAAAGGTTCATAAGACTGAGCTACGGTTGATCTATTTTAGTATGTGCACATATGTATCAATCTGTGAGGCTATTTTTTTGAATAGCATTCTTAAGAATTTGAATTTGTACAGCACTTCTAATTTGCCAGGAACATCTGTTAGAGTCCACCTTTTATGTCTGTGACACGGAATTTCTAGAATGCATAAAAACAGGCATCAGATTTTCTGGCACATTGCATGGTTTCTAATGTCTTGTCTCTTTTTTCCACCCCCTCTTCTCTTTTCTCCCCCAACCCTTGCAGGGCTGATAGTGTACCTAGGAATGATGGCTGGGGCCTTCGTCCTAGGGGGCCTGGCTGATAAGCTGGGGAGGAAGAAAGTTCTCAGCATGTCTCTGGCCCTCAACGCCTCCTTTGCCTCTCTCTCCTCCTTCGTCCAGGGATATGGAGCCTTCCTCTTCTGCCGACTCCTCTCAGGCATAGGGTATGTAAATGCAGGGCTTTGCTGGATCCTTGTAGACCAGTGTTCCATCTATCCTGCTACTTGAGCTCTGAGTGGTACCTCCAGAAAACCTTGGACTATGTTTTGTGTTTGACTTCAAAGATATTATATTAAAGTTGAACCTTAGAAAATGTTGTAAAGTCAGTGTATAAGGTCAAATAACCTGACACTACTTTGACCGGTCTTTCAAATTCACAAGGGTGGGGTATAAGGTAACTAGGCTTTTGCTATGACCATTTTTAGTGTATGACTTGATTGTTTCTTTTTGGCATTTTCTTTATGCAGGATTGGGGGTGCTCTGCCCATTGTTTTTGCCTATTTTTCGGAATTCTTATCTCGGGAGAAGCGAGGAGAACACCTTAGTTGGCTGGGCATCTTCTGGATGACGGGGGGCATCTATGCATCTGCCATGGCCTGGAGCATCATTCCACACTATGGTGAGTGCACTGCCTTCATATAGCCCAGGGGCTCTTCTTACTATGGCACCTGCCTCCAACAATGTTTCTGTCCTTAACCTTATTCCCCGTACTCACACACGGTTCCCTTATATGACTTTTATCTTTCTATAGAACTTCCGATACTGGAGACACCTCGCTAATTTCTTTTTTTTTTTTTTTAAAGATTTTATTTATTTATTTGACACAGAGAGAGACAGCGAGAGAAGGAACATAAGCAGGGGGAATGGGAGAGGGAGAAGCAGACTTCCTGCTGAACAGGGAGCCCAATGCAGGGCTCGATCCTAGGACCCTGGGATCATGACCCGAGCTGAAGGCAGACGCTTAACTGACTGAGCCACCCAGGCGTATGTATGTAATTTCCATACACCTATCTTTCTGGAAATAATACAGTCTGTTCTTCCTGCCTCCCTCCCTCTCCATTCTTCTCTTCTTTTCTTCCTTTATTTGAAAGAATGTCAGTCTTTATCTCCCCAGCCCTCTTCCCCCAAGCAAGTTAGGCAGTTAGGCTTCAGTGACCCCATTTAATAGAAGATGTAACAGAAGCCAAGAGAAGTTGATGACTTGGCCAAGGTCACGTCCCTGGCATGACCTTGAAGCTTGATGCTCTGTCTGCCCCCTGTCCCCATGCGGAACTCTTGTGCACTTTCCAGTCTAGTGCCTGCTGTCACTCTTGTTTGGCTGCAGAAGTGGAGAGCCCTTACAGACAAGGTCTTGGATTCAGCTGGGACAATTTTATTATCCTGGGTAATTGCAAAAACCGGATTCTCTGGACAGAGACCTGGCAACGTTTACTTTCACAATTGGTTTTGTTAAGAGTAAAGTAGGGAGAAGGCAGCAGTTTTGAATTTGATTATGTCTTTTGAGCATCCTGGGCAATAAATGCTATCAGCATCCTTCAAAATTTTTTTCGGTAAACCAGTGATTATGGGTGTAGGCTTTGTCATCATTTAGAATCCTGCCGACCTCTAAGGTACCAGAAAACTGCCCTGAAGCTAACCAACACTTCTCTACCCACTGAACTCCTTGGTGTCCTTGTTTGAAACCTCATCCTCTTTGTGTATTCTGAGGTGATGGAGGCTCCATGTACATCTCTTTAAGAAGCAGCTTTGGTGTAGACAATGCCTACACTATTGGTTAATGTAATGCTGGGTGTATTATCCTGGTAATCTGATAAACCCTGAAATCTCAGTGGTTTAACACAATAAAAGTTTCCCCACTTGTAAAGTATGGTGAATGTTTCTGATCTGCACAAACATTCAGATTAGCTCCATCAGTAATATTGGGGCTCAGACTCTTTCCTCCATGTGATTCTATCATCTTTAACATGTGGCTTGACGTCTCTGCTTGGGGAAAGATCATAGGCAGTTGTACATGGAGATTTTGAAGGACAGGCTGGGAAGTGGACTGTGTCCTCTCTACTTACAACCCACTGGTCCCCAAATCTGTAATATGATCACCCCTATCTTGCTGTGTGCCGAGAAAGTAGAGTAAATGGATTTGGGAACAAGTAATTTTGCCCTGTCTAGTCTTTGAGAACCCACTGGGTTTTGTATAAGTAACAGAGAGGAAATATGAACAGGAATAATGAAATAAACAGCTGAAGAGTTTTCCAGATAATTCTGTCACCCAGAGCAGTTCTCCATCATTTTAGATACAAATCATATTACTTCTAACATAATTCCTGCTCTCTGCCCTTCACCCGAAGGCACACTTAACACACACAGTACACTCCATGTTGGTTATATGGGTCAGAGAAATCGCTTACCCTCCCCCCAATTCTTGCTGTATTATTTACAACTGTTAACTGGTCCAAATGTGTGAGTGGTAAGAAACCATTTCCACATTTAAATTAAGTGAGTAAAAAATCTTTTTGGGGAGTGTGGGGGACAAATAAAATCTTAATAAAAGCTGAGCCAAAATAGTGGTGCCCTGTGATTGGGGACAAGTCGCTCCCTCTTGTCTGGTGTGGCTCCTTCACCTATAAAGTGGAGAGGGAAGGAAGCAAGAAGAGCAGACTGTAGCGATCACGCCAGCCCTCAGGTTCAGTAAAAAGGAGAGTGCTGAGAATACGTTTAAAACAATTCTTGTGTTCGAGCTCGCTCCCTTCCCGGGAGCATCAACAATGTCAGCCTCCTATTTGCAGCCTGCTTTTCCCCCAAGGGAACCTTGCCCTCACACGTGACCAGGGAGCCTCCCATTGGCTCAGCTTAGGTCATGTGCCCACCTCAGCCAATCACTACACCGCAGAGGATGCGGGGTCCTGATTGGTTGGGTTTCTGGCGGACACTTCCTTCCACAAATCCGGCACCGGGAGGGGGTGGGGCAGGGCAGGGTCAGGCCCATGCAGACCACGTGTCTGCCATACAGCGGAGCCCGCAGGGTGCGGGGTGTTACGACAGGGGCCACCCACAATAGTCAGTTCGTGCGGCATCACTTTTTCCACTTTGCTTTACGCACGCAAGCGCACACCCACGTCTGGGGGTGTGGTTGCTAAGGAAGCGATGCGAGGATTCAATGGGAGCGTGTTGACCGAGACTGAACGGGATGTCCACGGCAGAGGGGCCGTGCTGCTGCGGGCTGACATCAGGGCTTGTGATTCAATATTTTACCCCGAACAGACAGGATGTTTTTCCTGTTTGCTTGCTTGTATGAAATCTGTGACTTTGATGTCCGTTTTTAAGATCCAAGCCTCCTGGGTGTTTAGGCTCCATTGAAACAAGCATTAGCTGGGCGGGGAGTGGGGGAAGCCACCCAAGAAACACGGTAGATTAGAATCACAGTATAACAGGAGTGATTATTTACTTTAAGCCTCATTTTACCAGGAACAGATGTTTTGTCCAGAGCGAACCAGACATTTGATGCTCTTTCTCAATGTGCCCAAGACACTAATCCTTTAACACCCTTCCACTCAGCAGGGACAAATGCCAGGGTAACTGCAGAAAGGAGACTGATGTTTGTGTACTGCTTGTGAAACCCATTTAATTGCTTTTTCAGGAATGAAGCGATGGGAGGTCTTGGCACCAGGAATTCCGGTGACTAAGTCATTGAGAAAGAAAATTACAAATCTCAGAATGTTTTCCTGGGAACTCATGGTCACAGCCCAGAAAAAATTAGATATATTATGGAAGATTAATTCCCATTGTAGTCAGCAGCACCAGCTGTTTGTGAAAGCCTGACGGTGAAAAGGAGGGCAAGCTAAAAGATCAGTGAACAGAACCGCCCCTGTCTCCGAATTAATAGTTGTTCCATATATTTGGAAGCAGTTCACTATTTAATTTTATTTAATTTCAGGTCCCAAAGATCTGCCTAATGAATGCGATAAATGGAGATTACTAAAATCACCATAAAAACCACAGAGGCATGAGGGAATAACGTATCTGGGATAATTTACACATATTATCACAAAGAAAAAAATTTGTTTTGGGCAGAATACTTTATAAATGTACCCACTTCTGCTCTCCTTTCCTCACTATCCACCTGAGTTTGACTGCTGTGTCGTTTTGATCAACTTGACTTCTAATTATTCAAGAGTAGCTTTTGGACATGAGCTGTAAAATGTGTCAATATTACTATGTTTTTATCTTCCTCTTTCTAGTGTTGCTATCAGGAGAAAGGAAAGGTTTTTTTAATTAAAATGAAAACCAACAGACCCCAGAGAGAGCATGCTGTGAAAAAAGAGATTTGATTCTGGTTGAGAAAGTTGGATGATGTGTGTATTGTGTGGCCCAACGTGTCATAGCGGCTTCAGCCCCATGTTTCCCCACCTGGCATTCCCTCTGGCATGTCCTTTAGTTGCACAGACTAGGAAATAACAGCAGAAAGAGCAGTGCAGGTAGAGCGAATAGAAGCGCAATGGGTTAAGAGTCAAGGGCGAGTAGAAGGAGTCGAAAGGGCAGTAATAGTGTTCAAGACGTTCACTGCTCACCACTGCAGCTGATCACATGGTATACGTTTACATATAGACTTACCTCATTTTATTGCACTTCACTTCATTGTGCTTCGCAGATAGTAAATGGAATAGAGATTTTATGTCCCAATAATGATATCCTCTGAACTTTAGAAATCAATATATTCACTTATATTATACAGTTTTGTCTTTTTTAAAAAAAAAATGCTGTTGGAATTATCTTCAGAGTTACTTGGAGTGACATGAGAAAACCAAGCCATTTTATAACCTTGGATTATCTGATTATTTATTTTTAAAAGATTTTATTATTTATTTTTTTATTTTATTTTATTTTATTTATTTTAAAAGATTTTATTTATTTATTTGACAGAGAGAAACACAGCAAGAGAGGGAACACAAGCAGGGGGAGTGGGAGAGGGAGAAGCAGGCTCTCTGCGGAACAGGGAGCCCAATGCGGGATCGATCCCAGGACCCTGGGATCGTGACCTGAGCCAAAGGCAGACACTTAACGACTGAGCCACCCAGGCGCCCCTATTTATTTATTTATTTATTTAATTTATTTAGAAAGAGCATGGGTGAGGGGAGGGGCAAAAGGAGAGGGAGAGAGAGAATCTCAAGCAGACTCCCCACTGAGTGCAGATCCTGATGCGGGGCTCAATCCCACGACCCTGAGATCATGACCTGAGCCAAAATCAAGAGTCAGATGCTTAACAGACTGAGCCACCCAGGCACCCCATAACCTTGGATTTTTTAAAAAAGCAATTATTTTGCTGATTTTTGCTTATATTCATCTATTTTAGTCAACAACTTTGGCACTAAATGTCATGTAGCTATTTCTAAGCAAATCAAATCTACCCTCAAAGTAGATGAATTATTATTGGTTGTCAGGAGCTTTTGCACTTAGCCAATCTGTGGTGGTATTGTTACCTGCATTCTGTGAAAATCCACCAATACCACAATGATGTGGGAAAGCCAGGATTTGTACTCTGATATACGTGACTATGAAGATCTAGGCTCTTTCCACTGTGCTACCCATTCCTTAAAAGAGAGACTTTTGAGACCCATGAGGATGTTTGAAATAATGTTTTGTAGATCCAGAGGCAATTTCTAAAAATGTATTTTAGAAAAGTTTTCAAGAGCCACCTAGGTGGCTTAGTTGGTTAAGCGTCTGCCTTCAGCTCAGGTCATGATCCTAGGGTCCTGGGATCGAGTTCCGCATTAGGCTCCCTGCTCAGGGGGAAGCCTGCTTCTCTCTCTCCCTCTACCCTTCCACACCCCCCACTTGTGCTTGCTTTCTCTCTCTCTCTCAAATAAAATCTTAAAAAAAAAAAAAAAGAAATGCTTTCAATAATGAATGCTGAGTAGGAGCTAGTCATCTCTCCATTTCAGTAATGATAGAATTCATTTGAATTTAGAAGCCCTGTCTCTTTAAAATTAAAAAAACCCTACAGTCCTAAGGTCCTGATCTGGTTTTCTTTCCTAGAAGGCAAGGGGTCCCTGAGGTGTGTGATCACCCTCCCTTCCATCCAGATCATGCTCTGGGTACTCAGAACCCAGGAATTCCCACTAAACTCAAGGAATCGTGACAAAGATGCCCATTCTCATTGTGGTAGAGTGTTCACATATATCACCACGAGGCCCCTCACTCTGTGAGAGGGGCCAGGAGAAGAAATGAAAGACGTCTCACAAGGGTAGGTCATGGCCTGGACTTCCAGCTCCTTATTTGTCAGGGCGAGGGGCTAGAACATCTGTTATTAACCGTTGGTTAGCTTACGTTTTAATGACTATGGAGAAATATGGGATGCAGCCCAAGACCCTGTAAATGTCAGGCCTGGCCAACCCTGGGGGGTTCTTGAGATGCATGTTCCCCATGCCTGTTCCAGACTTCTGCCTCAGAAGGTTTGGGGACAGTCGGGGTTTTGCATTTTAACCTGCTTCCCAGGTGATGCTCTAGTGCCCTCATTTGAGAGTGAGTGATTTAAGGTCATTCTAAGATCATGTCACAAATCCTCTGACTGCTTCTTCACAGGCTGGGGCTTCAGCATGGGTACCAATTACCACTTCCACAGCTGGAGAGTGTTTGTCATCATCTGCGTGCTGCCCTGCACCGTGTCCATGGTGGCTCTGAGGTTCATGCCGGAGAGCCCGAGGTTCCTGCTGGAGGTGAGTCAGCACCCCCGCCGCCCCCACCCGATGTGAGAGCGATAGCCCTTTGGCCGCCCCCCTTCTGCTTGCATTTGCACACCACCCCCATGTCAGCCCGCCTGGTCCATCATCACGTCTGGCTTTATTGCTGTCTGATGGCTGCATGCCCTGGATTCAGGGACTGTCAGAGGCTGCTTCCAGCTCCCATTCTCTCCAGAGGCTCTTCAAAACTGTGGCATGTTTTTTCAAGTTGCTACAGTGAGATCTGTGGGAAAACTTGAGTCTCCCGCAAGCCCATCAGGACCCCTCCCCACAGGAAAGCTGCTCCTGGTGTCTTGAGAGAAGAGTCCTTCCAACTTGGGGGGCCTCTTGTGCTTGCAGGGGTCAGACTGGGTGGGACTGGCAGAGGACTGATAGGAACTTGAAGGCTTCTACACCCCCATTTCTGAATCCATTTCTGCGTCTCCTAGATCTTTCTACAGAGTGATCGTCCTTGTCAAATTCCCTTGTGTCCCATTACCAGGGGCAGACACCGCAGGGAGTTTTTTTTTTTTTAACCAGGGATCTCTCAAAATTTACCCTTTGTGGTGTATTAGTTTTCTAGTGCTGCTGTGATAAAGGATTTTGTCACAAACTGAGTAGCTTCAAGTAACAGAAATTGTGTCACAGTTCTGGAGGCTGGACGTTCAAAACCAGGGTGTCAGCAGGGCCGCGTTCCCTCTGAAGTCTGTAGGGGAGTCCTCCCTTGCCTCTTCCAGCTTCTGGTGCTTTGATGGCCACCACTTGGCTTGCGGCTGCACCACGCTTCCTGCCAGTGTCCTCTCACGTGCTCCCCTCCTGTGTCTCCGTATTCACATGCTGCCTTCTTACAAGGACACCAGTCGAACTAGATTAGGGGCCCACCCTACTCCAGTATGACCTCGTCTTAATGACATCGACAGCAGTCCTATTTCTAAATAGGGTCATACTCCGAGGTGCCCGGGGCAGCAGGGACACAATTCAATCTGTAACACGTTGCTTCGTTGCTTGCTCTGGTCAGGGAGGAACGTGGCTCTCCCCCAACAGTCACTCAACCTTATGACTAGGCGTGTTGTACCATGTAGTGGGAATAGTGTGTAATGTTTACACGTTACGCCCCGGAGGCGTTACCTTAGTATCCTTCCAAGATGGGCTGGGGACAGAGACTTGTCCCAGTCCTTCCCAAGACCTGAGTGGCCCTGCATCCATGTCTAACCCCTTCACACTCAGGGTTGGACGCCCCCCGTTGGGTTTCCACCCCTCGTCAGGAAAGGATTTCTTATGCCTCTTTCCTTGCTTCCACCAGATGGGCAAACACGACGAAGCCTGGATGATTCTCAAGCAAGTCCACGACACCAACATGAGGGCGAAGGGGGCCCCCGAGAAGGTGTTCACAGTGAGTGTGCGGCACCTGGGCCAACAAAGGGGGGCTCCCCTCTTTACTGTTTTGGCTTGCTAAGAATTTTATTATATTATGATATTTATTAATTTGACAAAGAAAATGTATCAGAGGGAGAATAAAAGCCTGACAGTCCTATTATTATGTCATAATTATTTGTTCATTTTGATGCATATCCTTGTTACTGCTAATTGTTAAAAAAAATGCTGAAGGAAAAAACTAGCTGTGTTCATATGGGGATGAGCATATGTGCATATATTTACATCTACATTTTTTTTTTTTAAGAGAGAGAGAGTGTGAGTGAGCAGGGCGGGAGGGAGGGGCAGAGGAAGAGTGAGAGAGACAGAATCTTAAGCAGGCTCCATGCTCAGCACGTGGGCTCCATTCCACAACCCTGAGATCACGACCTGAGCTGAAATCAAGAGTCAGATGCTTAACCAGCTGAGCCAGCCAGGCACCCCTCCATCTATATATATTTTAAAAAGTACCCATAAGCATTCTGTATGTTGTCTTGTGGCATTCGTAATTATCCTTTTAACCAACATTAATGTTGGGAACGTTAACACAGTCTTCCTAAACATGCCCCAAATGCTAGAAATTTTTTGACCCCATTTTATTACCTTGTCCCTGTAAATATTGTTGCAGTAAACCTTCTCACACACATAGTTCCTTCCCATTCACGTTCTCGGTTTGTTTTCCAAGATAGACTCCTAGAAATAAAATGACTGACTGAAAAAGCACTAGTATTTTTACAGCTCTTGAGTTATATTGCCAGATTACATTTCAGTAGGGTTGTGCCAATCTATAGTGTCATAGGCAACAGGATAGCCATTTCTCTCCTCCACCCTTATCAGCATCGGCGCTTAGCCTGGATTTTGTTTCTTGCTTGAAAAACTAGTGAGTGGTGATTTCCATGAAGATGTCCTGTTAGTTGCCGGGATCTGTGTTGCCCCAACCACAACCCTCTGTGGCCAAGGAGGAATGCGTGCCCTGGGTCCCTGTTTTGCATAACTTCCCTTCCAGGCTGACTTCAAATCCATTTCCACAAGGAAGCCCTCCTGGGTTAACCCCCTCCTACTCCGATTCACTGCTTTTGCAGCTTTGGCCTCTGCCATTGATTCTGGACAACACACTTGTCCTTGTTCACTGTTGCTTAGAAGCCCTGATTCTCAGGCTGGGCCACGTGGCAGGACCATGTGGCTAAGAATCCATAACCTGGAGCCTGACAGTCTGGGCCCAAATCCCAGTTTTGATACTTTCTAGCTGTATGGCCTTAGGCAGGGTACTCCCTCTGCCTCAGTGTCTCTACTGGGAACAGAGGGGTAATAATATCTCTAAGTATGGTTATGGTAAGGATTAAATAAAGTACCTAAACCAGTGCCTGCCTTGGAGTAGGGGCTACATAGATGTTAACTATTATTCAAAAATGTTATGACATAGGGGTGTCTGGGTGGCTCAGTCAGTTAAGCATCTGCCTTCGGATCGGGTAGTGACCCCAGGGTCCTGGGATCCAGTCTAGCTAGCATCAGGCTCTCTGCTCAGTGTGGAGCATGCTTCTCCCTCTCCCTCTGCTGCTCCCCCTGCTTGTGCTCTTTCTGTGTGTGTGTGTGTGTGTGTCAAATAAATAAATAAATAAAATATTTTTAAAAAGATTTTATTTATTTATTTGAGAGAGAGAGAGAGAGAGAGAGACAGCAAGAGAGGGAACACAAGCAGGGTGAGTGGGAGAGGGAGAAGCAGGCTTCCTGCAGAGCAGGGAGCCCGATGTGGGGCTCAATCCCAGGACCCTGGGACCATGACCTGAGCTGAAGGCAGATGCCTAACGACTGAGCCACCCAGGCGCCCCAATAAATAAAATCTTAAAAAAAATATGACATATTTTTTCTTAAATTAACTCAAGCAATGAATTTTATTGCTGTTCAGTCACCTATTTCTCTCAATTCCAATGCTCCTAAAAATATCTAAAATACGGGACTGGTGCTTTTATCACAAACATTTATTAAGAAGCACAACTAACAGTAATAGTCCAGATGAAAGATGTTAAGGGTGTAAATGGTTCTCCCAAGTCCCCTATCCCCACTGCTGTCTGTGGCGGATTATAATGCTGCAGCTGGACTGCAGGTGTGGACCCCAGATGTTAGCAGAGAGCCCCACTCCAGGACCTCGGTGTGCTTGGCTCGGTCCTGCCCGCACCCCCACCCATTCCACAGACTGCTCTCCAAGCTCCTGCTTATTCCCGAGAGACATCTTCATGGTCTGTCCCTGACTCAAGCCTCTGAATCCACATCAGCTGGGTTGGATTGTGGGCCACATCAACCTCGTGTGAAACACACACGAAGATGCATAAACACACACACATCCACAGACACACATCATACATACAGACACACAGACACACCTCACTCATACCAAGCATTTGCGAGTTTAATAACCTTCATGACAATTTGAGGAACTTCCTCCCTGCCCCATACCCCCCTCTTTTCCTCCTCCCTTTTCGCCTTCCCTCTCTTTCTCCTGTTCTCCCTCTGGAATATGGCAAATTCTCCTTGGCTCATGCACGGCTCACGCACTCGTCCTCCCTGGCATTCCCTGACCCGTCAAGCAGTCTGTTAGCCTATTTATTCCAAGCAAATCCACAGCTCTCCTGAGAGGAGTCCTGAGGGATGATTGCTCTCCACCTCATTTGTACGCCTGTCCCTGACTGCCCCAGGGGACTGGAAACTAACTAAGAGGGGCGAGGAAAACATCTTCCTCCCCTACAAAGCCCTAGGTTTCAGCCATCCCCTTGGCTGGCTGCCACACAGTTTCTGATCTGCCACCTGGCAGGTGTCCCCAGTAAAATGTTCTGCAGGGCTAGGGTGAACACAGGCCATATTCTGATTTAGACCCAGTCAAAGATAAGTATCTTAGTTAATTGTAAATTAGAGTAATTTTGTTTGAGGTTGTCCATATACCACTCCCAAATCCCTAGGGAATAGAATGTTATTTTCCCTAGGAGCACCAAAAAGAAAAACATTGCATTTGAGTGGATATCTTAATGCTTTGGAGTATGATTTTTGACATGCTTCCTGATTTGATGTCAACCTTGCCCTCTGGCCTCTTTTGGCGACAGCAAGGGCTCAATGGCTTCCTGGGGATATTTGATACCATGGAGCTCCAGCCAAGAGTTCTGTGGCAGGGCCTGTGCGTTCACTCCCCCATGTCCTTGTCAGAGCCCAGGCGGAGAGATCTGCAAAGGAGGAACACCTGCAGATGGTAGGACATGCCAGGAGCTTAAGAACTACTATTTTTAGGGTTTAGAAAAGCACAGCCATGCCGTCCTAGACCTCATGCTCAGAGTTAATGAGTCTGTTGTCCACACCCAAGGGCTGTTTTTTTCCCTGTGGATTACCAGCCTTATTTCCTTCTCTCTTCCCATCTCCTCACATTCTCAGATGGCTGAAGAAAGTGATGGAGATGCTTGTAGGACTAAAATCTTTTTCCTTAGACAAAGTTCGTTGGAGGGGGTGATGGAAACTGCATTTTTTTGAGTGTGCTCCTCCATTTTCCTCTGAATAAGTCTGCAAGCATGGACCTTGCTAACTTGGATAGCCATCTCCTTAACATGATGGCTAGTTATAGAATTCAGTGGTTGCTTTAAACACTAGGTAACTTGACAGTCACTGTCTTGGTGAGTCAGGATTGCACATTGGGGCTACCTGCTGACATTGGATAAATCAATATTTTCTGGGGCCCTTTAGGGGGAGAACTGAGATATATAACCTTATCCCCACTCCCCATTTCTTTGATTTCCACTAGGAAAGCCAGAGACAGCAAGGAAGACATGATTTTTCATATTCCGCTGTGTTTTAAAAATATCTCAAGTAGTAGGGCACCTGGGTGGCTCAGTGTGTGAAGTGGCCAACTCTTGATTTCAGCTCAGGTCACAATCTCAGGGTCTTGGGATTGACCCCTGTGTTGGGCTCCATGCTCAGTGGGGAGTCTGCTTGAGGATTCTGTCTCTGCCCTCTCCTTCTGCCCCTCCCACTGCTTGTGCATGCACGCTCTCTCTCCCTCAGTTTCTCTCTAAAATATATAAATCTTTAAAAAAAAAAATCTTAAGTAACAACCCTCTCCTGCAACACACACACACACCATTGCTTACATGGGTTCTAGACTTCTGTGATGTTAATTGTTAATATCTATTAAGGATAGACTTGTGAATTTTAAGGTGGAGTCAACTCTACTGTGGGCAAATCAGATGTACATGGGAATTCAGCATATTATGACTGACGAATATAAATTTCTCAAAAGCATGATCTAGTGAAAAGATGGATTCATCTTGTCTGCAGGGAGACATATCTCCCTGAGAAAGATTTCTGAAGAGAGGCCATGTACATCTTTGGTTAAGAATCACTGAACTAGAGGGTCATCCAATGCTCCTGTAGCCTTCAATATGTGACATAAATTCAGTTACATTAATTAAAGATTGAAAAGTCTGACACAGAGTGGGGTTATGATTCTCTAGACCATCTTTGTTTTGCAGGTTTCCCACATCAAAACTCCCAAGCAAATGGATGAATTCATTGAGATCCAGAGTTCAACAGGAACTTGGTACCAACGCTGGCTGGTCAGGTTCAAGACCACTTTCAAGCAGGTATGATTGGGAACATGTGGGAGATGAGAGGGGAGGATGTCTGAAATTCTGTAACTTTGGTGGATGAAGGATAAAGACCATGAATACCCCCATCAACTCAAGGCAGTTTGATGGGGAGGGAGTGCCCTGGATGGAATGTTTGGGACACAGTTGTGCCTGCTTCTCACTCACCATGTGACTTGAGCCACAGACTCTTTAAACCTTAGTTTCTTTTCTTTGCTCTTCCTTCCCAAGGAGAGATTTTGAACACAGGCAGAACATCTGTCTACTCTTAGTAAACATCCTTCTCTCTATCATCTTCTCTTTACATAATCTGTAGGAAGAAAGGAATGAGTGAAGTAGATGGCCCTTTGAGGTGTGTTGGTGGTTTCTGAGAAAGTCTCCATGAAGGGCAAGGCCATTTCTCTGGAGAAGTGACTCCTGTAGGCAACTCAGATGTCAAGCACTGAGGCAGCCAATGAATGGTTGAATGGTTGTTAAATGTTGGGAATATCACCCACTCCCACAGGCAAGGAGCAGAGCTCACTACTCAAGGTTTTCTAGTGTCTTGAAATCCCACCTCAGTGTGCTTTTGATGATGTATTACTGTGTTCCCAGGGAAGATGCTCCAGAACTATTATGTTGGAGGCTGAGGCCAGGCAGTAAGAAGAGAAGAGTCTTTGTTATTTGAACAGAATTGCTGCTTCTGGGAGTTCATGGTTTTCCATTCTCTCATGGGGTCCTAGGAAATTTATCAGAAAATCCTAGAAATGAGCTCTTTCAAGTCACAAGTCTCTTGCTTTAATAACCCTTCTGTGTGTGGGTTACAGGTCTGGGATAATGCTATGTACTGTGTGATGGGGCCCTACAGGATGAACACGCTGATTCTGTCTGTGGTCTGGTTCACCATGGCTTTAAGGTAAATTCTATCTTACTTAACTTCATTAACTTCCCTATGCCTCCAGCGCCTCATCTATAAACCAGAGATTTCAATTTGTTCTAACTCCTAGAGTCTGGATGCTTTCGGCTGCAAGTAACAGGCAGCCCACTCTCGTGGCTTCTACAGCAAGGACACGTCTTGTCCTTTGTAACAAGAATTCCATAGAGAGGCAGGCTCCACGTGGGGTTTCAGCCCCAGGCTCTGTCTCTTGGTGGTTGCCAGATGCTTGTGCTCTTCTTGGCATCCCATCAATGTGGGAAAATGTCCCAAGGAGGAAGAGGCTGCCTCTCTCTGAGCTTCTCTTTGTAACAGCAAGGAAAGCTTTCTTAGGAGCCCCCCACCGAAAACCCCTGCATCCTTTTTCTCTATTAACCAGATGAGTGTCACATACCTAGTGCCAAACTAACTGGTGAAGGGGATGGGATTTCCCAGTGACTTCAGACTAATCAGGATTTGTGTCTGAGCCAAAGATACCGTAACCTTCCCTGAGGGTTGATACCCAAACAAAATCTAGTTTCTGAGGAATGAGCAGGGAACGAGTGCTGAGTAGGCAGCTGTCACTTGCACTATGGCCATGGGATAAAGCAGTGAGACTCTGCAGTACTGTGCCCTACAATAAGGAAGAGCTAGTGTAATGGGAATGTGATTAGCTGGCTCTTCTCTTAATTGGTAGGTCATTTCATGCACCTCCAAATATCATGACCCTCTTTATGTCACTTAAGCCACTTAAAGCGTCTTGAAGCTATTTACTGTATAAAGAAAGTGCTTGCAATAATTTCTGGCACTTAGTAAGTGCTCAATTAATTGCTATTATCAGCGAGGAACTGTCAATGAGATTTAAAACTTCCATCTGTGAAATTGCTTGGTTCACCATCACCTGTGCCCAAAGGAAATGAAATGGGGTCTAATGACCTCTTTGATTCATGGAGGAACATGGGGAGACCTGATTTCTTTCAATACCTATTCATGGAGACCCAAGTGGGTAAAAGTAAAGAGGAAGCCAGACCCTACTCCCCTCCACTTATTCTGTCTAAGTGAGGAGGGAACATCTCAGAAGCCAAAGATGGTAGACACTAGGAGTCAATTCACTGAGTTCTAAAATATGTCTTGTTTATATTTACTTATAGCTGATTTAATTTTGTTGATTAGGTAATGCATTTCAAATGTTGAAACAACAGAGAAATACACGTGCATAGCTTTCCATAATGTAGCATCACACAGTCTTCAAACAGGGCCTTATTGCTAGACTCTTGGGAAGTCTTCAGACTTCTGCTATTACGAACGATACCACAATGAGTAATTGTTTGTAGGCGACTTTGTACTTGAGCGAGCTGATCAATGGAATAGGTTTCTAGAAATGGGATTATGGAGTCAAAGGGGTAAAGCCATCAGTAAATTTTTTTGGACATTGACCTCTCCTCCATATGGTATTGTACAAATTTTTCCTGCGGTGTATGAGAGCATCTGTTTACCTATAACCTAGTAGTTGAGAATGATAATGGTGTGGCTTTAATTTGCATTTTTCCTATTATGAGTGGGACTGAGCATCTTTTTAAAATGTTTAGTGGCTAGTTTTTTGAGTTGAAGATCTTGAGTTCGGCAGGTATAAAGTTATATCATCTGCAGATTCAGGTAGTTTTGCCTCTTGCTTTGCAATTTTGTATTCCTGCAATTTTTTATTTCTTTCTCCTGTCTAACTGAGTTTGTTAAGCCCTACAATGTGGTGGTAAAGAGTAGTGGTGATAATGGGTGTCTGGGTCTTGTCGCTGACATTAGTGGAAATGCCTCTACTTCATGAAGTAAGATTCTACCTTTGAGCTGAGGTATGTATTTTCTTACATGTAAAGGAAGTGCCCACCAATTCCCAATCTATTTTTCTTTAATCAGGAATGAATTTTTTTTAATCAAATGCCTTTTCAGAATCTATGGAGATGCTCATGATTTTTTTCCTTAGATCTGTTCATATGACGAGTGATAGTGTGGCACTTAGTAAGTGCTTTAATTTCTAATAATGAACCATATTCGTACATTTAAAATGAGCCTGATTTATATCAGGTTAGGGATACAGACTCTGATCACGAAAGAATAAAGCCTGTTGCTGCTTGAATATTCTGTCTTCTCTATTACAGCTACTACGGACTGACAGTTTGGTTCCCTGATATGATCCGGTATTTTCAAGACGAAGCATACAAGTCCAAAATGAAGGTGTTTTTCGGTGAGCACGTGTATGGAGCCACCATCAACTTCACGATGGAGAATCAGATTCATCAACATGGGAAGCTTGTGAATGACAAGTAAGTGACAGAGACCACGGGCTTTCCCCAGATCGGGGTGATGGTCTGTGGGGACTGTTCTTGGGAGAGGGGCCATTGGAAAGAGAATTCAATAGGGCAGGTGAATGAGCTCCAAGGCTGTTGTGGTACCTCAGAGACACAATGAGGCCTGCTGGCCTCCGGTCATCCCTAATCACCTGGCTAGAACTGATTCATCCAAGGATAGAGACATTTGACTGAGGAGAGGCAATCAGACCATTTTTCCTGTGACCTCACACCTTTAATGGAGATGTGCACAGGGCTGTGGCCTCCTATTGGTGCCTGCCTATAAAGAGGGCCTAGAGGGTTGAGAACACTATACTAATCCACCGCCTGGTTTTTGAGCTTTTTCTTTGATTTCGGAAGCTTCTCTAGAAGCAAATCCAGAGGCTAATATGACACTAGTCGGGAGATCTTGTGCTGACATTGCCCATGAAGAAATATTGCCCAAAGAACACTTTGGAAATGTTGAAGACGAAGGGACATTATGGATGGCCAGATGTCACCCATGACATGACACCATTCTCTGCAGAGACAAATTCAGTAAAAAGAGACCGCATTTATGAAGTTTCCTTTTTTTTTTTTTTAAAGATTTTATTTATTTATTTGAGACAGAGAGAATGAGAGACAGAGAGCACATGAGAGGGGGGAGGGTGAGAGGGAGAAGCAGGCTCCCCGCCGAGCATGGAGCCCGATGCGGGACTCGATCCAGGGACTCCAGGATCATGACCTGAGCCAAAGGCAGTCACTTAACCAACTGAGCCACCCAGGCGCCCCGCATTTATGAAGTTTCCAATGTTCATTGACACTCTCATGTGATATTAGTAATAAATAATGATAGTATGACATTGATCATGAGGCTCATAATCATAACCATGGCAGCCAACATCATAAAGCATTTCTAGGTGTCAGCAGCTGCCTTAAGCACCCTCATAGACTGTTATGTAATCCTCACAAAAATGAAGGAAGCCTCCAGGAGACAAGACATATGCTTTTCACTGTACAGGTGGGGAAATAGAAGCTCAGAGAGGCTGAGTAGCTTGCCGAAATCACGCAGCTAATATAAATAGAAATGTCTCTCCCAATCTCGGCATTCGGACTCCAATCCCATACCCTTAATAACTGGATATTGTCTCACTGGGAAACTCCCCATTCCCACAGAGGCCCTGTGTTATATGGTGTCTTCTGCATTTAAAAGTTCATCGTGGGACGCCTGGGTGGCTCAGTCGGTTAAGCATTTGCCTTCGGCTCAGGTTATGATCCCAGGGTCTTGAGATCGAGCCCCGTGTCGGGCTCCTTGCTCGGTGGGGAGTCTGTTTCTCTCTCTCCCTCTACCCCTCCCCCCTGCTCATGCTCTCTCTCTCTCAAATAAATAAATAAAATCTTAAAAAAAAAAATTTAAAAAGTTCATCACAATGCCAGCATCCTCATGGTTTGCAACAGGCCGGTTTTGTAGTTCTTAGACTTAGCTACATAAAAAATGAGAATTTCTGATCCACTCTGTTCTTTTAATCTTTCTCAGCCTCTGGAAGCTTTCATCAAGCTTTTGGGTGGGAGTGAGGGGGAAGCAAGTGTTCTTGAAAGCAGTGGTCTCCTGTGGACCCAGGACCTCCCCTGGCACCATACAGTTATTGCCAAGGGTCTGGGAATGCACAGTCATGCCAAGGATCATCTGAGAGTAGATGTGAATATTCTGCATGCACAGATATGCTGCCATGTTTCTATGTTTCAAGAGAATGTGGTTGTTTGGTGTAATTATTCAAATATAAATTCCTTCAGAAGTTGCAGTGAGTTAATTTTAACTTGTCATTTATATGGTTGTTTTGTTTTGCTTTATTTTGGAGAGAGCAGGGAGAGGGGCAGAGAGAGAATCCTAAGCGGACTCCATGCCCAGCACGGAGCCTGACTGGGGGCTTGATCTCACAACTCTGAGGTCATGAGCTGAGCCCAAATCAAGAGTCAGATGCTTAACTGACTGAGCCAGCCAGGCACCCCTCATTTATGTTTTTTAACCAATGGATCCTAAAAGTACAACCATTATCACATGAAACCCATCATTTTTACCCCCAGCAAACTGAATATAAAGGGTGTTTTTCTCCTTGGAAGATTAGGAATCTTGAAACTTAGCTAAGGAATGAAGGAACCTGGTTTCTTTTCTTGAGTTATGCTGCCACCTGCTGATCATGGGCTAGAAAGCGCCTCATCTTTGAAAACCCTAACCCTCCTTGGAGAGTTAACTTTAGCTGGGGTGCCACATTTCTCCATATGTACCCTGTATTCCTCCTTTGACTTTATCCACACTTTGCTAATTTAAAATTTAAAAAGCAATTATTTACCTTATTGACTGTTGCACACCGGGGAAAATGACTTTGGTGTAAGTAGGGCTTCAGACTTCACCCTCAGACTTTGTCAATAAAGGAGAACCTCTTGAAGCCTGAACTTCATCCTGTTGTAAGACAATCCCTTTGGCCCCAAGAAGAAATGAAAGTACACAGATTAGTTTGGGCCTGTTCCCCAAGCAGTATCTGCAGCTCTCCTGGTGCATCTAATGGGACCGGGTGGCTCTGAGTTCTCATCCTGCTTTTGCTCTAGAACTCATAAGTTTTTAGAAAATGCAAGAAAGGCAAGAGAAAAAGTTCATATTTTAAACCCTGAGCCAAAATGTCAGGCTAGGCTTCTCATATTGTTAATTGAAAGCAGTATAGTTTTATTTTTTTTTTCCTGAGATCATGTATAAACTAATTAATTACCCTCTCTGCTTGGGGAGACATTTCTGCTTGGCAGGGCTAATTTCTGTGAGGGTTAGGATGGTGAAGAGTATGATACAAGATAATCAGCCAGGAGAAAAATAGGAGAAAAGCTCTCATGAGTTTTCATGGAAGGTCAGGGAGTTGAACTCTGAAATGAGGATGGCTTAGCAGAAAAGAGAAGAAGGTTGGTTTCATGCATCACACTGAGGCATTCCCTACACTGTTCAAAACTCCTTTGAGTGAGGCAGAAATAAGAATTTTTTTAGCTGCAGTGGGTCTGTTTCAGGGCAGTTAAGTCCCATGAAGCTCCCATGGGTGGGAAATGTGTAAATTCACCTTCTGGCTTCCAGGTCTGGGGAAGTAGCTTGAGGGACTGGGTTTCAAGCCTCGATGGGTCAGAGACTAGCTGAGCCATCTCTGACCTGCGTAAGCCTCCAATTCTACATCTGAAAGCCATAATATCAATAGATAACATACCTCATGCTTCAGAGTTGATCAAATCTCTCAATTTAATATAGGGCCTGCAAAGATCTTTGTGGAGACACTTCCGGGATATTTTATAACCTCACTGGCTACTGAAAATTGGTTTGCTTTCTCCCCATCGAATATTTACACAGGTTATTGCAAATAAATAGAAATCCTATTGATTTGGGGATGTTTATTTGATATCTAAGCTCTTTCATTAGTCCTAACAGTTCCCCTTTGTTATTGTTGTATGATCCCATCATCTGCAAATAGCCATTGTTTTGTCTCCTTTCTTCTCTTTTTTATTCCATTGTGAAGTACATCAAATATGCAGAGAATAGAGAATAATGCAAACAACCCAGTTCAGAGCAGCTGGCTTTATAAAATCATCAACTGTGCTATATTTACTTCAGATTTTAAAATAGATTAAGCATTACTCACTCTGTGAGCCTTGTTGTGATTCCTCTCCTTCCTAAAGCATAATGATTACCATTGTTAATAAACCTGGTGTTTCACTGGACCAAATGGACTTCACAGATATATTCAGAACATTCCATCCCAAAACAACAGAATACACATTCTTCTCTAGTACCCATGGAACATTCTCCAGAATCGATCACATCCTAGGTCACAAATCAGGCCTCAACCAGTACTAAAAGATTGGGATCATTCCCTGCCTATATTTAGACCACAATGCTTTGAAACTAGAACTCAATCACAAGAGGAAAGTCAGAAAGAACTCAAATACATGGAGGCTAAAGAGCATCCTACTAAAGAATGAATGGGTCAACCAGGAAATTCAAGAAGAATTAAAAAAATTCATGGAAACCAATGAAAATGAAAACACAACTATTCAAAATCTTTGGGATACAGCAAAGGCAGTCCTAAGAGGAAAATATATAGCAATACAAGCCTTTCTCAAGAAACAAGAAAGGTCTCAAGTACACAACCTAACCCTACACCTAAAGGAGCTAGAGAAAGAATAGCAAATAAAGCCTATACCCAGCAGGAGAAGAGAAATAATAAAGATCAGAGCAGAAGTCAATGAAATAGAAACCAAAAGAACAGTAGAACAGATCAACAAAACTAGGAACTGGTTCTTTGAAAGAATTAACAAGATTGATAAACCCCTGGCCAGACTTATCAAAAAGAAAAGAGAAATGACCCAAATCAACAAAATCATGAATGAAAGAGGAGAGATCACAAGCAACACCAAAGAAATACAAACAATTATAAGAACATATTATGAGCAACTCTATGCCAGCAAATTAGATAACCTGGAAGAAATGGATGCATTCCTAGAGATGTATCAACTACCAAAACTGAACCAGGAAGGAATAGAAAACCTGAACAGACCTATAACCACGAAGGAAATTGAAGCAGTCATCAAAAATCTCCCAACAAACAAGAGCCCAGGGCCAGATGGCTTCCCAGGGGAATTCTACCAAACACTTAAAGAAGAATTAATACCTATTCTTCTGAAACTGTTCCAAGAAATAGAACTGGAAAGAAAACTTCCAAACTCATTTTAGGAGGCCACCATTACCTTGATCTGAAAACCAGACAAAGACCCCATCAAAAAGGAGAATTACAGACCAATATCCCTGATGAACATGGATGCAAAAATTCTCACCAAAATACTAGCCAATAGGATCCAACAGTACATTAAAAGGATTATTCACCATGACCACGTGGGATTTATCCCTGGGCTGCAAGGTTGGTTCAACATCCGCAAATCAATCAATGTGATACAATACATTGATAAAA